CCATATTAGAAAACCATTTCACATGCAGACACAAAACAACCAGAGCAATTGTTTTGTAATGTTTATAATATTCTCTAGTTGGTTGAGTTCTCACTTTGTAGTTTATATGAATATTGTCATAGCAGAAAATTTAGATGCAACACTTGCTTCTTCATTTAGACCTACCCTGCCATTTCTTTGATGCTCTTGTTCTAATGCCTACTTTTGTGCTTCAATGTTGGAGCTGGCATCAAAGTTGCAAGTGCAAACGTGTTAGTGACTACTCACTTTATTGGCAACCTCTAATGCTCTTCCATTTTTTGCTTTTTGACTTTACTTTAAGCAGGAGAGATGTCATGCTTAAAGCATCTCTGGGAAGATGTCGCAACTCAACTTTCGGTGCTGCAAATGCCTAGCTTTTTATCTTTCGCAGGTCTAAGCTAAATTTTAGAAACGCTGCTTCATCACTGTTCTTCACTGAGATTGGCTGAGTCTTTTGCTCTAATATCTCAGTAACTTGGTTCAGGGACAGAAATTGATTTATTTTTATCTATCAAATGACAGAAACTTTAAGTTATACAGCCTGCAGACAGTTATCTCAGATGTTCTTGGCAATAACTTTCTTTCATAGTTCAGAATATATCCTGGCAATTGCCATTCATGGGAGATCAAATGTTACTCTCAAATCATTTCTCATCAGCAAAAATTATCTTTTCGCTATGATCCTTTCATTGCTGGAGTACTTCCTTGAAATTGTTCTATTTCCTGGGTTGAAGGAACACTGGTGGATAAGTGACACAGGTCTTGCAATGGTGGTAATAGGGGAGATTATACGAAAGTTGGCAATTATAACTGCTGGTCAAGCCTTCACACATGTTATCAAGGTTTACCACGAGGAGCATCATCAACTAATTACTCACGGAGTCTATAGATTTGTCCGTCATCCAGGGTACTCTGGTTTCCTCATTTGGTCAGTTGGCATTCAGATAATGCTCTGCAATCCCATATCCACAATCGCTTTTGCAATTGTTGTTTGGCAATTCTTTGCAGAAAGAATACCTTATGAAGAGTATTTCTTAAAGCAGTTTTTTGGGTCAGACTATGAGGATTATGCACTTCGGGTCCCTTCTGGGGTGCCATTTGTAAAATGAAGATTTATGAATTCCGTTGGTAGGGCTGGATTTGTCTTTCCATTAGCTTTTTGAGTAGGGATTCGTTCCGACTTTTGAGATTGAAACGATTAGCAGTAACTGGAGCAAGATTTTCCTAATATTGCTACCTCTTAATTTCCTTGTAGTTGTAGACTTTTAAGGTGGGTCGGATGATGGCCTTTAATCATGGTGGGAGAATCTTCTTGGGGATGGGCGGGAATTGGCCCTTAAATACGTGCTGGATTCACCTGGGCGTTATATTCAGGCTCTTCAAGAGTACTGATCTTGAAATCTGAAATAGTATTCTCTGTGCTTTTAACTTAATTGGTACGACAGTGAAAAACCATACCTTTGGTTTTCAAAAATATGAACACAGGCGTCCTATTCTTGTCACCAGACGAGAAAGTGTCATTCTTATGGTGATGCTGTTTGTGATGTAACATTGCTGGATTAGAATTTTTCATTCTGCTACTGATGCTGTAATAAGCCTGTAATTCTGCCAGATTAGAGTTTTTCATTTTGTGATACTGTAGCGTCTGTGGATCACACAATAAAGAAAGCCGTTGATGGCCTTACTGTTTTTCACAAGGGAAATACATTCAAGCTCATCTCTTTACATTGGGAGGGAGTTACCAAATGCCATCGCCAGGAGAGAGACAGCTCAAATGGATAAGAATCGCAGAAGTAGTTGCTGTTGCAACCATGGAGATTCGCTTGTGTTTTAAACAAAATGAACATACTATTTTCTTGCTTCTCAACCAGAGTTCAAACTTAGCGCAGAAAATTAGTTAACTCATCTCTGAAAATTGACATGGACCAAACTGAGCACATCAAAGAAGTTGACTTATTTCTCAACACCGGAACAGGATTGCATGTATTGACTATTTTCCTCAGGAGACATGAAAAATTCACACCGCTATAAATCTTTGAAAACAAAATCT